GACATGTCTCTTGGGACTTCACCACCAACACGCACAATATACATTGCGTGTATCCCATGACCTGTGACAGTGGATGATGGTTTGGTTCCAGGCATTTCTCTAGAATAGTGCGTGTTGACCGACAGCTACAGGATGCTACAGGTAATGGGATGTCATGGGACAAAACCCCCAAAAGATACACTTCATGGACCCGATCACTCACTTCTTACGCCGGCACTCGCAAGAGCCGACCACGACCGACCGCACCGCGGCCCCCCCGACCGGCCTCCTCATCACAAAGGCCCTCGGCACCGCGCCTGAAGCGGAGTGGCGGCCATCCGCTGTGTTTCTCCGGATCAGCGGTTGAGCCAGCGGTTGTTCGACGATCCGCGCGACACACGATCAGCTACATTGAAGCATTATAGCTTTCTTTAAACGTGCCCTGTACGGTCATATACAGCCGACCGCAGCAGATGGTGATTCAAGTTGTTTTGACATTGCTCTCTGGGGTCACCGCCAATCTAAAGGGAGACCTCCCAGAGAGGAAAAGAAATCAGTTGGTTAGCTGTCTTTGGCATCCTCTAGAGTAGTCTCATACAACCTATCAACATCTACCAACCAGTTTTGGGATGTGTTTGGTGTCTTTTTTTAACCCTCTATCGACCGAAAGTCTACACTGAAGATTCGGTGGGCAATCCTCTATCCGAATTCAAACTCTGGGAAATCCTCTATCAACCATCCAAAAAAGATGACAATGTCGCGAAGATTCCCATGGTCGAAAGAAAGTAGGAGCCCGCATAGTCTTGGGGCAAAAAGGAACTGCTGCGTTACACATCTCTCCAATGTTCAATAGTTATTTGGAATCCTGTGAAGCAGCAGGTTCTAGAAGGTCTGGGATCCAAGTACACCGTTAAAGACACTCTCATATCCCTGGCGATACTGGGACTGATCCTGCAACTTTGAACTTCTTGAAGGAGCGCATTTCTATCCGTTTGACTGTCTCCTTGCTGTTCCCTCCGGAGGCTTTGGTAAATGAAAAAGGTCTACAGAGCTAAAGGGCTGACCCAGTACAGCGTAGAATGCAATGTCGCATTCTCTGGAGCAAGATGCTCTTTTCTAGGTTGCTCAAGGCTACGCGGGCTGCCACACTACGTTGCTCTACTCCACATATGTGGCATTGCTCGCTCCTGGTATGGCACCCGGGCACCTGTTCATTTCTTACTTTTGGATACTTTTGGACAGCTATGATGTTTTATCCACCTTAAGCCCAGCCAAGTGCTGCACTTGTAGGCCAGAAAGAGCTGCAGCAACGCCTTGAGCGCTGCCTGTCGCACCTCGCTGGGAGCTGTTTCCAACGTGAAGCCCGCAGCGGGGAGTGGTAGATGGGGGGGGGGCCCTCGAACCAGGCCTTGAAGAGGCATCCAAACATACTTAAAGAAGTCTTTAAAGACCCCAAACATACTTAGAAAATCTTGGAAGCCTCTTTCCAAGTTTTCCACCTGCCCAAAACCTCAGGGTGTTCTTCGGATCGGATTCGTTGGATCGGAATCTACTTGGTCAGATCGGAATCGTAGGATCGGAATCTATTTGGTCAGATCGGAATCGTAGACTCGACGGGCGAGCGCGCAACACCATCCCGACCGTCCCGACCATCCCGACCATCCCGACCATCCCGACCGTCCCGACCATCCCGACCAATTGATCCTATATCGTTGACGCTTATCCCGAACTTACGCTGGCTCGGCGAAGTCGAGGAAAAACTATGCCGACTGTTGTAACTAACTGGTTGTGCACCGGCCATCCCGACCACCCCGACCGTCCCGACCATCCCGACCAAGGATCCTATATCGTTGACGCTAATATCGTTGACGCTAATCCGTAACTATAACGCTGATTCGGCGAGGTCGAGTATAAACTATTCCAACTGTTGTTGCTAACTGGCTGCGCATCAGCTATCACATCCCGCCCATCCCAACCATCCCGACCGTCCCGCTAGAATCTGATCCTACGACGCTGATCCGGCCGAAAGGAATCTGATCCCAGACGCTGATCCCTGACGCTGATCCGGCGAAGTCGAATCTGATCCGGCAATTGCCCAAAACCTCAAGGACTTATTGACGTGCAACAGGCTGCAGAACAAACCGCATGGGGAGGTTCATATATTCTTTTGGGTTCACTCGAGCTCAACATCGATGCTCCTTACACGCACCTGGCCCATAGGGTGCATATGGTAGGAATAGAACCTAAAGCAGGCCCAAGTAACTTCTGTGACACTGGACACACTCACATGAAAGTTATATAATTAGCCTAACTCACGGTATCTCCTAGAGCTACATGCGCAGTCATCGTTTCACGCAGCGAAGTCGTCGATCAAGTCCCAGTTGGGATACCACCAGTTGGAATACTCTCAAGCAGTCTATTCGCCCTACGAAAGCGGCGAACTTTGTCAGAGTAATCACCTCTTTTACGGAAGGGCATATATTCAACATGACCTGCTTGCAAGATTGGTGAAACCTCTAGAAATGCAATAGGATGCAATAGGGGAATTGGATGGAACTGGAGGTCACATTCTTTAGAGGCCAAATTGCAGCTTCTTTCGTCTTCACTTGCCCTTGGAGCCATTCGGCCCGACAGTTGTCATCAATGATCATCCTAGTAATACCTATGCTCGCAGCATTGGTTCTTAAGCGCATGTCTTGCACATTTTGATGGGCCTCTTCAACCTCCTGCTCTTCCAGTTTGCACAAGGTTGACTCTTTCCATTCTTGGCCATGAATAAATTGAAGTCCTGCTGTCGATGGCGTATATGCCTTGAACCTTGCGTGTCCTGCGTGTCATCGAGGTAGTTCTCACAGGGCACGCAATGTGAGGCCTCTTCAGGCCTCACAGCCAACATGCAGGCTCCTAGATGCAGACTCCACAGGGGCCTTCAGTGTCCTTGATCCTCCACCCACTCCTCCACCCGTTCCGAGGGCGCGTGGTGCCCGTTCCGTCGGCGAGTCGCCGAACTCCAGGCACTGGTGTCGTTAGACTCTGCACGATCGGCACGGTGCCTTTCGCAAGGCCTTCATCCAAATACCAGCTTTTCATAGGTCACTCTCAATGGCTCTCCATTGAGACATGTCAGCGAATAGGTTAGCCTGCCAGCTTCTCTGGATTTGCACCTTTCTCAGAGATAGCGAGAAGCCTCCACAGGTACTGTGGAACTTCGAAAGAACGCCTTGGAAGTCCAACACGTTGCAAATTCATGTCCACTTCCTGGGACCTATGTGAAGCATGAAGTTTCAGTCTGCGGTAGCTTCCGGTCCAATGGTCAGCAGAAACAGATGTTTGGCCATGATGTGGGGTGTCTAGATAGTACGTGATGATTTTGCAAAAACACACACACATGTATGTATATATACAGTGTATTGCAGGAAAAGGTGTCCATTGATAATCTCTGATATCATCTGATATCCATTGCCACCTCCAAATCGTTGACAGCTCTACCCAAACAAGCATACTCTGCCCTGAAAGAGCAGCAACAATCTTCAAAGCATGCACCTGTCGCCTCTCCATGTCACAGGTATCGCAGGTATCTCTTCAAGACTCACGATGCCGACACGATGACTCCGATTTTGCGCCTTACTCTTCACCAACAAACAAAACAAAACGTGTCATTGCGGGTGTCGGGTGTTTCTTGTGATGTATAGCCTATACGTATAGCATCGTATAGCCATACTTCTGCGTCGTTCAGTAAACAGCTTCCCTCCCTAGGCTGAAACTCATGGAACATGATCACCAATCGTGCTGTACGCACACTCCCTCAGCATGGACAACTACTTCACGTTCTAGGCAGCTGTTTACTTCATCTAGATGCAGTTATGAATCGGTTCATCTGCGCTTCAGAGCTGTTCAGAGCATTTAGGAGTCTAGTGACATCTCATCTTTATTTGGACAGATCTTTGTTCGGACCTTGTCCTGTTCTCAGAATCCTAAAAGTCTTACTACTTTCAAACCGCTTGCTTGAGAACTGGTTGCTTTCATCCCATCCCATGGAGACACCAATTCACACTGGTTGCTTTCGGAGCATTGACACACACACACACACACATGGGCGTGCTCCTGCCATCACCTCCCACCGCCTCCCATCAAATTGTCGCGCGATGACTCACTAAGCAAAACTAAGCATAACATAGAGCATTACACCGTCCATCCATCCATCCATCCATCCATCCATCCATCCAATCGTATCCGAGGCGCCGGGAGTGTGGCTGAAGCGTCCGAGGCAGCTTTGGCCAAGGTGAAGGGCAGCTGACTGTCCTGGCGCGATCCACGATGCGATCTCCAAGCATATCATCATAAACATATAAATCCGCAAAGCAAAACATGTACTTTGCACTATACACATGTCATTGTGCCTTATCGTACCATGGCAGTGTAGGGAAAACCAGGATGTCAAAATACAGCCAATCCATGCTCTGGCTAAGAGGATCGGTCCACTTCATATATCCAATTGGGAGGGCCAAGGTACTCATCCGAAAAGCAATCCTTTGACGTACTGAAAGCACTGAAAACATCCTCATAGCTTCTGAGTTGCCTCGCCGCCACACCAGCCGCACGACTCGTCAGGGTGCAGGAAAACCAGGGGTTTCCGCCAGCAAGTCGAATTAATTGGTGGGCCATTGGTGTTTTCGTTTTGTGGTTGGTTAGTTGGTAGAATGACAAACATTGTTGAGCAGCTCAGGGCAGCATTCCTCTGATGCACTGAAGATCACCTGCAAAACTATGCCTGCTCTGAAGGCACCTGGAAGCTCTTTTTTGTCAGCCCAACAGCACCTCCTGGCAACTCACTGTACAAGTTCTCCCAACGTTCCACGCGGCCAAGCGCCCGCGTCCACATTCATTTGGTTCCACCCCAAGAAAAAAAACGAGATCCTCAAGCACTGGCCACTGGCCCTGAAAAGACACGTGGCCGCAGCGACCACAGGATACTTTTCGGCCCAAAAGAGCAACAAGCCTTCGAAGGTGTTCTGAGTGTTCCGAGACACAACTCTGAATCCAATTGACTCAGCAATACCAATAAAGGCATCTGAGGATCTCAGGGTGATATGATTCAGCATCCACGACGAGGAGCCCAACAAAATCTTCTTTGCTCAGATCTCCAAGGACTTCTTGGCTTCTTCACCTTACACTTGCACAAACAGAATCTGCTCCCTATTAAGCCATCCTTACCAAGCCATGGCCCAGGGCCTGTACCCGTCAAACTCTTTCGGGACCTTGGGAGACTCAAGTGTCTGTGCTACTCAAAAAGTGCTGGACCACCAAACTCTGTCGTGTCACAGATCTGTTGTAACGTGCTTGTGCAGTTCAAATCTCTAACTTCAACATTTTTAGGCTTTGCACGAGAGCTTCGAAGGTCATAGTCGGTCATTTATTGTTCATCTTCAACGGGTAGCTGAAAAAAAGGATGGAACCTCCACCACTCAAAACATGTACTTGCCCGCTGTAGCAAAGCTTGCGATAGCTCTAAAGCCCCTGCACCCTTTCACCTTTTTCACCTCGTCTCAGGGGTTCATCCAAGGGTGTGCAACCGGGACCAACGTGCACGTGCACGTGCACGGGACGTGCCGCAGGAGAAGCTCGATCTGTTGAAAGATCGTTTTCCACATCAACCCCGGTGTGACACGACAGTCTGGTATGTTCATCGTGTGCTTGTGTGTGTTTTTGAAGCCTTAGAGTGACACAAGCCGCAGAAAAACATGTTCGGTTTGAAAGATTTTAACCAATTTGGCGAAGCATTTTCCCTGGGTGAAGCCATTTCGCCAGGTTACTGACCTGTCCTTTCAGAGACCCATTGAGGCATTGGCGCAGATATTCCTCGGCGGTGATGGGCCCGTACTTCTTCGCATCAACACGCGTGAACCCGGGCAAAGGATCCTTGGTGTGCCGTGTGACCATGTACTTAGAATGCCGCGGGCATTCTAAGATGGAGATGCATTCTATGTGTCCGGAACTCAAACAGACATTCTAAGTTTCGCTATCTTAGTATATATATCTTGACACTGTCTGATCCTTTACAGCTCTCACTAGTTTGTCCTTCTGTATCTTCTGTCTACCACAGCCTCTAACGTGGAGGAAAACGTGGGGAAAAGTGACACTGAAATTGTGGCAAACAACAGTCAATCCCAGTGGGTGCTTCCTGAGCTCTGCTCAACCAACCCTTGTTCTGATAGTTTGCAACATACTACACATATACATACCATGTGTATATATAATGTGATGTTGGATCTTGATTAGTAAAAGGGACCCCCCCTCAAACAAATGGGGGAGCCTCTATAAACAACTACCACCAAAACAAATCTGGGTTCCTAGGAGGATTCCTTTTGTAATTGCTTGTAGTATTCATTGTCCTTTCTCTCTTTGTAGTAGTTGTTGTTGTTGTGGTAGTAGTAGCAGCAGCAGCAGGAGTAGTAGTAGTAGTAGTAGTAGTAGTAATAGTAGTTGTAGTAGTAGTAGTAGGAGTAGCAGGATCACGGGCCTTCCTGGTCTACTACCTTGAAAATTTGTTTAGGAGCAATCTTTTCATAAAGGATTGATTAGGGAATTGATGGTTTTGGGAAGCTGTCAGTTTTGAAGAAGAACTATTGACACCTATACTTATCAATACTCTCAGAAAGCCAACCATTGGCTTAGTAGTAGTAGTAGTAGTAGTAGTAGTAGTAATAGAATTAATATTTCTATTTTCCTAAAGGAAATATACTTAACCCTAAATATGTTTCAGATAATAAAAAATTAGGATCCCCAAAGCATTGAGCATAATAGAGGACCCTTAAAACAAACAGGGTGTCAAGAATTATGTGTCCAACATTTAGCATCATAGAGGGCCTATTACTAATCAACGTCCAACATTACTATATTTATATTCTAGAAGTTCTCAAGACTCTTCATGTCCACCTGGAACCACCACAACATACTTGCGATGCCAAGTTTCCAGGACTTCACCGCGGTCGGGATCACAAAAAAAGACGATGCCTTCAAGCCAAGAAGATGAACTGTGCACCATTGTTATTCTCAGTTGCATGGGGTCGACCAGATTACTTGGAGTCAGCCGATTGACACAATGCACCTCTAGAAGAACAGCAGGTCTGTGAGAGAATTCGGGCACGTCTCTCTTCGTCAGATGTTTGTCGCAAGAGATGTTTGTTCGTCGGACGGGTCCCAAAGGTCCGTCAATCTATTTGGGAGGATCTTCATCGAACCCTCCCAGGTCAGCTTCTCTTCAAAAGCCATCTGTTCCCTATGATTTTGCCTTTCCACCACCGAGTCAGTGGTTTTCAGGCAAGCTCGCGCGGTCGGCCCACCCGGAGTCGTTTGCAGAAGCCAGTGCATTCTGAAAGAAAGCGCAACAAAATGGACAGTGCATTCTTCATACTTCCAGTGCTGGTGCTGGTGCTTAATATCTGCTGAAAGTATTGTGATTGCTTTGCGCCACTGATCTGCGAATCGTAATGTTATGATTTGGTGAAGGTCAAAACATATCCCTGCACTCTCTTAAGGTGATGGGTGGCAACTGGTTGCATTGATTGCTGCTACCGGGAATCAGTCATGATATTAGTGTATATATATATATATTATATATCTTGTAATATATATATATATGTTGTAAAAAAAAAATATATATATATTATACAACACACATATATATATGGATATCCTTTTAATTACAGCTGCGTTGTTCCTGCTACCGCAGGTTGACTTGCAGCTTCTCTGCTTTAAAAAGACAGGGGGTGCTCTGAACATCACAGCCAACCTGAGACTGCCCAGCGGCTGTAGCGATCCTCCTCAGTGGAGATGACCCTGTGAGGTGTGGCCTTGACAAAGTCATTACACCAGCGCGCCAGCATGGCACCCGTATTCAACACCACAGCGCCCTCCTGGCGATTTGCGGCACTTCGGTAGGAACAACATTGGACAAACCTCAGAAGTGTTTGCTCCCGAGACCCGTGCAGGCAACAGGGGTTGGTGCAGGATCAAGGTCATGGCTTTCTGAGTTCAATATGCATAACTCAAGCTTTCAACAAATACAGATTTAAAAAGAAACACATGTATTGGCAATTGGCAGACTCTCCATGCAGAAAAGGAGGAACCTAGGGGGTAAACTAAGGTGACAATGCATGGCAACTTTGCTCACTGTACCATTTGTCCTGGAAACTTTCAAGTTGACAGTCACAACACCCCGACCCCTGAAATTCACGGACAAGTTCAGTGCGACTAGTGCATTCATCCCATGTTGGCAAGCTAAGCTGGACGGGGGTGAAGCTTGGCAAAGTGAACAATGTCGGTGAGGAGAGCTCAGCAAAAAAACACTACTCCTCCTACTAAAAAGATGACTTTCCAAGCATCAACAACAACATCAACATCAACATACAACATACAACATACAACGACGACAACAACAAAAATAGTAAAAACAAAACATGTGCAGCAGCAGCAACAACACAACAACAACAACAACAACAACAACTACTACTACTACCACCACTACCACGACGACTACTACTACTACCACCACCACCACCACTTACTACTTCTACTACTACTACTACGACGACGACGACTACTACTACTACTACTACATGAAAGCTGATACCGCACACATACCATATTAGTTCAAACAAACACACACACACAAATCCAAAGCACAACAAATAGTAACTTAATAATTCCTCTTCCATCCACACCTTTTCTAAGGCATCCCACGGCGTTGCCGCGTCCTTGCCCGGAGCCGAGATCCACTTGCCATCAGGGGTGCGCACTTCCAAGCCTCGCTCGGAGATTCGTCCGGTCGGACACATGGTGGGACGTGCCAAGCACTCGGGTGGAGCCCCAAACACTTGGTGGATAGATTCATAGATGTGGATATATGATATATTATAGAACAACGCATACACTCTGACTCAGACATGGAAGTGGAACATGAATGAACCTGTTTTATTTGGAAGACTACTTGACCACTTCCATGCTAGTAAGTTGGAATGTACTGTATATCAAAATACTATCAAATACATCCAAATACTTCTTGCTCCGGAACTGGTGGCCTGACTTTCCCTGATTTGGGCGATTCTGTTGGAAGGACCGGCGTGCGGCCGGAAAGCTGGCATTGAGAAATCGGCTCAACATCGGCCGTCCAAAAATCGACCAGCGTTTGATGTGAACATCGCAAACAGCATCGCACATGTTGGGTCGTGTAGGGGGTCGGTTGATGGTTGTTGTAAACTCTCATGTCATCTGCCCATTCGTTTGTTTGTTTTCTGCGGTTCTCTTTCGGAGCATCCCAACATCTGATTGCACAGGTCATCCAGCTTCTCTTCCAAACCCCTGGATCTTGTCCGATTCCCTCACCAAAACTCATACTCCCAGGTTGAAAAACACACATTGTCATTGATGTCAATAATTATAGGTAAGGTCAGGTGTTAAATTCCCAATACATTAGTCGTATGCTAACGAATTCATTAATGAAATCTTGTGTATCCCTTGGCTCACCCACGTTGCTTCCCGAGGTGCCCCGCACGCCATCCTCGACCAACAGTACGGTCACCGCCCCAAAGTCCGTGTGCTCGCCACACGCGATCGCGGAGCCGCTTCCCTCGTCGCAGTGGGCAATGCCTGCACTGGTGCGATCTCAGGTAGCCCATGGTAGCCTCAGCCTTTTCCGCTAAGCAAATGAGTGGGAGTGATGTAGGCAGAAGATACTTGAACTTGACTTGGCCTTTTGGCCTTATCCATGGCTTTTGAAGTGAGGTATCTTCGGCCTAAGCAAATGCAGGGGAATGGATAATGAATGGGAGTAGCTAGTTCTGCCAATTTCCTGGCTGGGGCAATCTCAACCTCATCGGTTGGAACATGTGTTGTTCATCCTGTAGGTGGACATGCTGGTTCAAACATCAATGACATCAACGAAAAAACGCGCAGGGTCGTGGAAAGCAAAGCTATTCCTAAAGTCCTAAACAAAAACATACAAAAACTTATAAACTGATCCATCAACACCCTGTGACCCTGTCTGTTTAACACTGAGATTGATGGCGTTGTATCAAAAAGACGGATAACACCATGATATTATTGCTTCCCCTCCACACTTACATCCACTTACCCAATCTGAGCCTCCCGACCTGGTGGGTAGTGCAGCAATCGCATGGTGCAAAGGTCCCACTGGACCACGCTGCGTGCGAAGTGCTTGGGATCCTCCAGCTGCAGCGCCACGCCAAAGGCCAACAAGGCTCGCTGCGCTGCAAGCGACGTCAACGCCCAGGTCCTGCGTCAACGCGTAAAACGCTCCGCGGCGCAAAGGCTCCGACCGCAGATTTGGTTTCTATATATAGGTTCTTAGGGAAACTAATAGCGATGGCCTCCACCCTAAGAGCGATTTTGTTCCTGGGGAACTATGGAGATGGAGAGACTTGCGCAGACTTGTACACACTTTTTTAGCGATTGCCATCGCCCATTCTGGTGGGCGACCTATCCATCAAATAAATTTCAATCAAAATTATGTCCCACAAGGTTGGCTTCGATGAGATCTGTCCAGAATATCATATCAACCAAATTCAACAGGATTGTGTTTTTTCTCTGGCTGGGATGAATCACGAGGATATTTGCATTTATTTGCCAAAGCAACACATCTCAAACAGACCTAATTCTCAAACAAAACAGAAAAACGAGCTGTGCCTAAGCAAAGCTCAGTGCAATGGATTCAACTTCCACGATCAAACACAAAGTAACTTGAGAGGACGGAGACACGAAAGGTAGGACAGCGGGAAGAGAAAAGAACGCGAGAGGCAGGAACAAAAATGCAATGTTCGACATGGTGATTTATCCCCTCGGAGGCGACCTTTCGTAAATCATAAATATATGTTCATATGCACTCTAAATGTTCAAATATATGCTCTCGAAATGTTCAAAAAAATTCTTAGGAAAACAAACTTGCCCCATGGATCAGATCATCGGTGAGCATTGAATCGGAGCATCATAGGATTTGAACTATCCTGAAACCATAAGAGGCTCACGAAGACGCTCCCCAGGAGAGAATTGACGTGCTTCACAAAACAAACTCTAGGTACGTATCCCCTCGGGGAACACCTTTCGTGATTAGAATTTCATATGCACTCTTTCTGAATGTTCAAGAGGGTTTCAACTATCCTGAAATCATGAGAGGCTCAAGAAGACGTTCTCCAGGAGAGAATTGAATTTAGAGGGGGGGGGGGTCTCTATTGAAAAATAAATTCCAAGGGGGGGGGGGGGGGGGGCTGTATTGAGAAATCAATTCGAGGGAGGGGGGGTTGAATTGAGTGATCAATTATTAGACCCGGACGTCCCAACACTTGCTTCGCAAGACAAACTCAAGGTATCCCCTAAAGGGCTACCTTTCGTGATATGACCCTCGGATTTGGAAGCTCTCAGGGCAACTTGCACCTTTATGCTCATTTTATACATCAGCTGACAATCAGCTGTGTCTAGCTCAGTGCACCATCAAAGTCTTCAGTGACCTGATTTCGGAAGTTCTTCCCTCAGTTTCCCAGCTCTCCTCTGGCAGTAGCTGGGGAAGTCCTTCACCGCTGGTAAGGACCCATCTGTCAAGCTGACTTTGCGCAAGTTGAAGGCCTCGATCGCCCGTGTATCTACTTCCTTTCTGCAAGTGACCCCGCGAGCGTCCAAATCCAATATCGATTCTACAGTCTGCGTTCTTGGTCGCGCCACGGTCCACGACAAAATATAAGCTCTCATTATTTTTGGCCAACCTAGAAAACACCTTAAAACATCTGCATCATAAAACATCGTAAAAACTACTTATATTCCAAAAGTCATTATTGTCTTTTTTTTTCTGTTAAGGGAGATGTTTTAGCCCAAAGGCCTGAAAGAGATGGTTTCGATGGCATGCGAGCCTCGCCTCTTTCAAGTCAGCCTGGCGCCGAGCGTTCAAGGCCTCATTGCCCAGGCCGCCATAGCCTCGCACCGTTGGACGTTGGACATGAGCAGACCCGTGTTGCTCTATGGATGGCAAAAGACCATCATGGTTGTGTCGAAAACCTTTGGAGACACGGTGGTTCCTTGAAACCGATTGACCAGTTTGGCTTGGTCCAGTTCTTTGGTGAGGCCGACACTGTCTCAGTCATTGAGACGCGAAGGCACAAAATTGGGGACCTCACATTCGTCCAATTGGTCCAACGTCGCCTAACGTCGTCTCGCCCCGACCCACCGACATCTCGCTCCCGGGAGGTTGGCCGCCTACGTTGGTCTCGGGCGTCAGCCGCGGCAGCGCCGCACGGTCCACGTCCGGCGCCCAGAAGCCCTTGGCGCCGTGGAAGGCCTCGGCGATCTCGGCTGAGGAGAGGAGGCCGAAGGCGTACACGAAGCCGTGGCCTGGGAGGCGAAGAGTCGGTGGAGAAGATCGGGGAAGACCATGGAGCGATTGGAAGTCATGGATTGGAGAGGAAAAGATCTGGAAAACTGTTTTTTTTTTTTTTTTTTTGTTGTTGGGGGGGGTCTTGAAAAAAAAAGGACGGGATGAGGATGATGAGGATAAAATGGGGATGATCGGTGACAAGTCCATACACGCCTAACTACTCGATTGACACCGAAGCTCACCTGGAGGTACTCCGATCATGTCCTAAGATGTCCTAAGCTATTCCAGTCATGGATCACCTGGAGGATGTGTCTGCAAACTGGAAGAATCTCGAAGACCAAACTGGATGGGGGATGATGGGGGTACAAGATCGCAACTTCAATCACCATCGATTTCAGCAGGAGCATTGACCGCATGCCATGAAACCAATGCAAACTGCACAAAAAATCGTCCAACGTCCAACACTGTACATTGTAGAAAAAGCCACAATCACACAACTACACAACATTAACGCCACAAACATGCCACCAAACGTCGCATGCATAATACAGCATGATAAGCAAAGTACATCAAAGTACCGCAACCCAATTAGCTATGGGGCTGTAACTGGCTGTGAATTTACTTTCCTCTTTGTATCGGCTTCTGCTGATATGCTCACCCCTCCGCTTTCACCAAGTCTAGCGAAACCACACGACACGCGCTTCTCAGGTGCGTGTCTCGGTGCCTCGTAAGATCTCTCGCAGCTGCTCGCCCACGGCCTGCTGCTCCTCCGTCGCCTGGAACGGCTCGGCGTCTAAGGCAGCTGCCCCAAAGACGGAGAAGTCCACGTCCGGCACGACATCCATTGGGGAAAGCGTGGAGAATGGGGGACCTATAGCCTATAGCTTCGGGAGCCTGAAAGCTGCAGGATGGAAGAAGCAAACCGCTTCTCACTTGCAAGCAACAAACATCATCCTCAAGAGCAACGGCTGAGAGAGAGAGAGAGAGTATGCTAGCTGCTCATCTGTGCACTTGATTCAAATCCATCATCCAACAACGTAACATCTTGCAAAACAGTTGACCAAAACGTATTGTACTGTATTCTCGGCTACTGTCACCAATAGTCATCTGGACAACTGCTAATCTGCAAGGGGGGCCCGATGTGACGGGGTCACATCAGGGTCACATCAGGTTCCTGTTTACAAGGCGTTTTGGTGTTTGAATAATGTTTTGATTTCATACACAATTATTTCATTGTTTTATACGATGCGACTAATCTATCTGAGAGTATACTACCGCCATCCTTCAAGAATCTCGGCTCAATTCCCAAGTAGTAGAGCGTTTTTGGGGGGCTGATTCAGCTCCGGTCAAGGTAAGTACTCGTTGATAGTAGATAGTCAAACACATTTCTTGTTTGAGAGGTACATGGTACATATCTCCACAGCTCCAATTCGCTCATGTTTTTCGGCCCAACAGCTTTGATTGGCTCAAGTGAGGCTGAAATCAATGGAGTGAGGTAGAACTTTCCTTATTCTCTCAAAATGGGTTCTACAAGACAAAGCTCGTCGTGGCAAAAGGATGCAAAAGGCATGAAGATTATCTGAGCCACTCTACAGGTAGAGGGTGAATCTCTCACCTCCGAATCTCTCACCTCATCTGGGATTGTCAGAGACCTCGGGCATCTCTGGCACCAGCACAAAGGGTGCGCAGTTCCACATCCCACCTGCGTACTCGTCGGGTCGAAATCGTCGAAATGCGGTGAGTTCGCAGGGAATGAGGGCGGGTGGATCGTAATCGTAAGGTATCTATCCCGACTCCATGTACAGAACATTTACCTACGTTGACCCCTGAAACCACCCCAGTTTGGGTATAGTAAAGACCCATTCCCTCATTTCGACTCAGTCTGTTGTTGACGACACCCTCCTCCTGACTTCTGCCCCAGCGAACGCTACAATAAGACGACTACCAGGCTACAAACGACAAGACTGCTGAATCCGCAGCGACTGGGCCTGGCAAATTGGAGGACCATAAATCTGAAAACAACGATCCCATCTCAAAAGCAGCAAAAAGGCAAAGATTGGGAAACCAAGAAGACGCAAAGGAACACATTCTGGATCCATTCTGCACGAACCTGGGAATAGGAGCCAACATCAGCCAACCCAGCTGTCTTCCATTGTCGTCCATGGTTTTGGACGCATGCTTTTGGAGGTTTGCTGGCAACCCTCCAAATAGCGATGGAAATTGGTCACTGATTGGCAAGGTGATAAATGAGTTTGTGTCAAAACTAACGATGTGTTGGCGGGGTATGCATTGACAATTTAGGACTCCAGGACGTCACCCGAGTCTCGTTCTCTTCGGGTTTTGAGTCTTTCCACATCTGTGTGGCATGACATAGGTTTGTCTCTGACACATACAATTACTCACATCTGATGGGGTCAGACTTGGCCCTGGTGTAGAACATTGACAACTAGTCAACTAGTGGTTAAAGACAGGAAAGCACATGAACAAACATGTGCATGTTGATCCGTATTCCTCGCAGGCATAGTAGTGGACTTTTACGATTTCGTACCTGTTTTTCCCCAATGTTCAAAAATATATGCTATATTGCCTCTGAGCGTGCAGAAACCTGAGTCCGTTTCGATTTGACAATCGAAGACCGCATCCAAACAACCAATCCTCTGGTAGTTTGAGGGCCCAAAAAGGTTTCCAGAGTGGACACCTTCCACCTATGGTGGAATGCGCCTGCCCTCCACGCCTGTTGCGCCCATGGCGCCCAAACCCAGCAACACGCCGGGCGCCGGCCCTTGCCGCAGTTCATCGCGCATGAAAAGCACACGGCCCCAAAGCGGGTCACCATGCCTCTTGGAGGCGCAAAAGAGCAAAGGTGAAGTTCAAAGAACGTGAGACCGTGAGACCTTGGACAGGTTGAAATCAAACCAAATCAAAAGGTTTGAAATCAATAGGTTGATCTTCGTTCCAAGTTCTCAAAAGTACACGGCCTCTTGCAAACTACGGACGACTGCTAGTCGACCTCGCGTCCCGGGACGCGTCCCGCATTCCGCTGTCCCACCTGGCGTGGCTGTAGTCCAAGACCAACGCCTCACGTCCATCCAGCTGCGAGGTCTCTGCTTTCACGCGGAAGCCGCGCGTGTCTGGGAGGCCCGCAAAGCGGTTCCTGATCGCCACCAAGGCCGAAAGTGGTGAAGATGGTGAAGATATTTCATGATCATTGCAAGAGAATCCACCGAAAGCCGGAGCACGAAGCTTTGGACTCAAAACGCCTATTCTCTCTTCCAGGGGTAGTGGTAAAGAACTTGCACCTATATGTAAATGTACTATATAATTTTTGTAATGCCCTGCCAACCAAGTTAATTAAAACCCTTCATAACTTGAAATTGGACTTTCATGGCTGAAACCTCAGCTGTGCCGCGTCCGAGGTTCTTGCCAAAGTGGCCGCTGCTGTCCATGCTCTTACCCCGCCATTTGGCCAACGGGCCAAAGAGGACCTGACTGGATAGGATGGGATGCTGAGGAAACCTTGACAAACTGGTGGGTTGGGACACTAAAATAGCTCCGAACACCTTTGGTATATATATACATATATATATATTATTATATATATATCTGTATACTACAGTATATATCTCCTGTGATTGTTGACAATTGCCATTGACTTCCCCACACGTCCCGTTCTGGGGGGTGTTAAAGAAGCGACTCATATTGCAATAACCAAACCTCGAACAACCTGACATACAAAAACCGTCTCAGATCAAAGTCTAGAGTCTAGACAAAAACGATTGGCAAAAATAAACAAGAACACTCTCAAGTGGTCGTGAAATTGATAGACAAAACATCCAATGCATTGCATACAGTATATACAGTATATGTGTTCAAAGCAAATCACTGTACATCTGTTCTGTAGCTATATGATATGCTCTATACTCTATATCCCATTGTCACTCGTGATGATTGAGCTCCGAAACACCATCATTCCGAAACAACAACCTGGTGGTGGACTAAGCCCCTGAATGCAACGGAACCAAAAGCTTTTCTTGAATCCCTCTTCTTCTCAGTGGCATTTGGATGCGAAAAACAAACACAACAGTAAAGGACCCCACCAACATCGCCACTCTGAAAATCACGGCACGTTGGTGATGAAGGCGGACATGGGAGCCAAAATGCCCAGAGAGAGGAGGTATCCTTTGTAGCGCACACCCTGGTACCTGAGCCCAACTGCTGGTCTCTCTCGGCCAAAACGCACTTTTCCTCCCGGTAGTTTCCAAGATGGGACACCGACCACAGAATCCACCATCTCTTTGGAACATGCCCAGCTGCCACATGCTTTGTTAGCAGTCAGGCAAGAACTATTGCAATATGATATACTTATATGTTTTTTGTATATTAGATGAATATATTAGATGAATATATACATACATACATACATACATACATACAT